ACGACACACACACACACACACACACACACACACACACACACACACACACACACACACACTACACACACACACACACACCAGAGGTGGGAAGTAGTGGAGTACAAATACTTCGTTAAGTACATGTTTCTGGTATCAGAACTTTACTCCACTTCTTATTTTTCTGACGACTTTTTACTTGTTGAACACAAATACCTGTACTTTCTAATTCTTACATGTTGAACACAAATACCTGTACTTTCTACTTCTTACATGTTGAACACAAATACCTGTACTTTCTACTTCTCACATTTTGAACACAAATACCTGTACTTTCTACTTCTTACATGTTGAACACAAATACCTGTACTTTCTACTTCTTACATGTTGAACACAAATACCTGTACTTTCTACTTCTTACATTTTGAACCCAAATACCTGTACTTTTTACTTCTCACATTTTGAACACAAATACCTGTACTTTTTACTTCTTACATGTTGAACACAAATACCTGTACTTTCTACTTCTCACATTTTGAACTCAAATACCTGTACTTTCTACTTCTTACATGTTGAACACAAATACCTGTACTTTCTACTTCTCACATTTTCCAAACAGGCTGGTTCCTTTAGTCTGAATGTGTGTTTGGTGGCGTGATCATTATTATTTAGAGTCATTGCGTGCCTATTGATTTGAACACGATCCGTGTATCCATCATTTCCTGGTCTTCTCTAAAGAAGAGGGACCAATGAAAACGTTGTCATGTTGCCGTTGTTCACCATGGAAACATTCATTAGCTAACAATGACATTATTGTTCTATTAATATAAAGGGAGGTCAGGTACTCTTTAAAACAGCTGCTAGTTATGGGTACTTTTTACTGAAGTACATTTCAAAGCCTCTTTACTTCTACTTGATTAAATAAGTTTAGTCAGTACTTCTACTTTTACCAGAGTATTTTTAAACACGAGTATCTGTACTTCTACTTGAGTAAAGGATGTGTGTACAGCAGAGTATAGAGTTTGTAAAATAGTGAGTCTGTCGGTATCTCACAATCCGTTTCAATTCTGGGGTCCCAATTCGAATATTTTTTCCAAATCAGATTTTGTTAGAGTCCATTTCAGTGAAAAATAATCAAGATAATTCAAAATTGATTTGACATAATGCTGGGAGATGTATAAAGAACATTTTGGTGTAACTCACGACTCGTTCTGATTCTTGGGTTCCTGATTCGATTACAATCTTTACAAAATCGGGTTTCGTGAGTCTATTACAGTACAAATTATAAAAAGGCATTAAATGAAAGATAGATAGGGAAAAATGATTAATATAAATATGCATTTAAACATAAAAAGTTAAAGGTAGAATGAGAAACACAAATATAAAATGTAAAAGTAAGAAGTTAAATCCTAATTGATGTTTGGATTCATCACAGAGGAGATTATTTCAGAATCAGATTACTGTTTCTTCATCCCGGGGGATATGAAATAAAGTTGAGAGATGTATAACAAATGCTTTCATATCTCAGGTGTCGATTTGATCACTGTGTCGTGACAGTCCATTTCAGTAAGAATATATAAGCTGTTATATATAACAAACATAATCAAACTACTTATATAAACATAACAAGTTAAAGGTAGAAATATATTTAAAACAAATCGTAGCTTGAATAAGTTTCATAAGAGAAAAACAAATGGAAGAAATGGAACATTTAAAAAGCAGAACACGGAGGATTTCAAGTACTGTGTGTACATAGTTTTTAATGTAGAAAATACAATACATTTGACATGTTAGTGTAGTAATTACACTACAGCATAGGATGTTTTACACGCATGGATTCTTTTGAGTTTCAAAAACATGTATACAGTATCATCTAACTTGCAGGTTTGTATGCTGTTCAACATTTTACAGTTTTTTTTACCATCATCCTAAACAGAAAAGGTCATTATTGAAAATGTTTAAACATGTCGGACCTCAGGAGGTAGAGCAGGTTGTCCATTTATCACCTGTCAGATTATATAATAACTTTCAAATAGCCACATTTTGATTAGTTAACAGCCAAAACCCAGATCACAATGTGTCTTGAGGACTCTTCTTTGAAAGTGATCAGCTCCTAACTCTGACAGCAGGCTCTCAGACAGGACATCACATTAAGTCCTTCTTTAAAAAATACTATACACAACATACATTCATTATCAGGTGTGATTGGAACAAACCCTGTCTTTGTGCAAAGTCATATATTTTTAATTTTTTTTAGGTATAATTTACATACAAATAGATTTTATGGCTCCAGAAAAGTCTCCAAAAATCATTCAAACACAGAAAAAGGACAGAATATATTGCTGTGCTTTAATGTTTTGTTTAGAGAGGATTAGGGCCACATGAGAACACATTTGACCAAAAGTACAATGTACTTGTTCTCGTGTGGCCCTAATCCTCTTCCATACAAAGCAAACAGTATCTCAAATTCATTGTTTCCCCACAGACACAACACCAAGACCTCAAACAACCGAAGTAGAAGATATTGCATAACAAAGCTTTCCCTTTGATTGAGTCTACAGTCAGGTGATCTGAGGGTATGTTCATTGTTGACGTTTTTTAACATGCTGGGTTAAAAACATATTCTAAGATATAAAATACAGAAAGAGAGTTTTAATGACTCCAGAGAAGTCTCCAAAAGAATCATTTAAACACAGACTAACACCATGCTTAAAATCAAACCAGGGTTAAAGATCCAAGTCAAAATATCATTTTCAACTTTGTTTGTTCTTTAGACTCCTGCCTACAAAACCAAAACAGTGTCCGAGATAAGGACCTGTTTTTGACCTCAAACAACCAAGTAGAATGAACATGCATGACATTTGATCTCCCTGTATTTGAGTCTACACAATCAGAGGTGATACCAGGGCGTGTTCATGATTGAAATGTTGGGTTTGAAACATATTCTTAGATATAAAATACAGAGAGAGATTTAATGACTCCAGAAAAGTCCTGTGACGGGGCCCGCTCCGTCACAAGTCCCCAAAAGAATCATTTAAACACAAACAGACACCATGCATAAAAACCAGCCAGGGTTAAAGATCCAAATCAAAATATCTTGCGGCAAGGATTCATTTTCAACTTTGTTTGTTCTTTATACTCCTGCCTACAAAACCAAAACAGTGTCCGAGATAAGGACCTGTTTTTGACCTCAAACAACCATGAAATGATCGTGCAGGACAAATGTACTCTCTGCGTCTGAGTCTACACAGTCAGAGGGGATGTCAGGGCGTCAGTGAGTCCCTGTGTGTCCACAGCGGGGCTGCACAGCAGAGACGTGTCCTGCAGCAGAGACACCAGCTCCACAGGACCCGGAGGATCACTCCGTGTCTGCGCAGGCTTCCTCTCCGTCTGCCTGGTCTTCTTGTAAACCAACCTCTTCGTGTCACTCAAGCCGCTCAACCTGGAAGCGAGAGATCTCTTCGCCTGCTGCCTCTGGATCTTCTTCCTCTGCGGGTCGTGAGCGATGTTGTGACGCTGCAGGCTCTGTTTCATGGCGAAGGTTTTCCCACATCCTGCGTGGGGACAGGTGAAGGGTCTCTCCTCTTCGTGGAAGGAGCGGATGTGGCTCTGCAGGTTGAACATCTTAGTGAAGGATCTGTCACATCCCTCTTTGGGGCATTTGAGTACCACCCGGGTCTCAGAGTGCACGTACTGATGCTGCTGCAGGAACCAGGAGTCCTTGAACTCCTTGTTGCACTGCTCACACTTCAATGTGGGCCTGTGCTGCTCCTTCCTGTGCTTCAGATACTCCGTCCAGGTCTTCCCTGTGAAGCTGCAGCCCTCCTCCTTGCAGGGGTATCCTTGATGCACCTTTCAAAATATTCAAAGGTTTTAATTGTCATATGCACATAAGCAACAGTGTAGAAATGCAATATATATAATACAATACAAAATAAAAACTAGTCCAAAAAGTCTATATACATGTCAATAGAATGTTATATGTGCAAGAACAGAATATGAAATTCACACAATGATATATGTTTAAAAACTCAAGTTGTACTCTTCACTAACAGAATATCCTGAACTGATTTCTTGACAGGGTGAAAGAAAAGGACAAAACCATTACTACCCTAGGTGTGTAATGTGCCAAACAGGAATATTTACCTTCTCATGTCGCTTCAGCTTACTGGGCACAGTGAACTTCATCTCACAGCCTTCATGAGTGCACTTATAAGGGGGTAACAAGGTGTGCTGCTCACACATGTGGGACTTCAGCTGCTCCTTCTTCTTGAACTCCAGCCCACAGCCTTCATATTTGCACTCGTACTTCTTGTGCTCCTGAGTGTGGACTCTAGTCATGTGTCTGGCTCGATTTGTGTTGGTGGTGAAGGCCTCCTTGCAGCCGTCCTCGGTGCATTGAAAGGGCTTTACCCCGGTGTGTGTGAGCTCATGTCGGGTCAGATGGTAGGAGCTGCAGAAGGACTTCCGGCAGCCGTCCTGCTGACATGTGTGCGGCTTCACTCCGGTGTGTTTACACAGATGAGCGTCCAGTTTCCACTGCTTGTTGTAAGCCGCCGCGCAGCCGGAAACAGAGCAGATGTAGCGTTTCAGCGGCTCCGGTTTAGTCGCCATTTAATCATTAACGCTATTAAAACCCCGATTGAAAACACTGCTTCAGCACGTTGACCGTTTTGACACCGCTACTTCCCACAATCCACTGCGAAGTGACGCCACGCTACTTCCGAAACCGGAAGTCACGTATTACGTTCCCCAGTTGGTCGGTGGTGCGGCTACGTGAGCATTTGTGAGTGTCTTTTTTAAAGGTTTCTACTCTATGTAAACATGACAGCAGCACATTTAAGAATACATACACACTACATGTTGTTTTGTTCGCAGTTGTAATGTTTAGTTGTTTTGTGGGGCTTGGGGCTTTTTATCAAAAAATACGTTTGAGGTGCGAAATAAACTTTTTCTCGGGCAACGCCTGAAGGCTGACTAAACGCTATCTCGCCCAGTGTATACAGGAAAAGCTATTGAAGGTTTCGCATACTGTAAATTGTAATAATAACATTTGGTACGTTTTCATGACAAACCGTTTATTAATTTTATTATGATTGTGTGAATTGTTGAAGAAATTATAACACATGTGATTGAGACTATACTCCTACGGGACCCTGGTCAAAGGACCGGGAGAGGGCGTCTCGCACCCAAAAATACCATCGGTAACTCCCTAGGGTTCCGATTTTTGTTTCGTAATACCTTTCAGGTCATATAGTGCACGTGTGGTGTGTGTGTGTGGTGTGTGTTGTGTGTGTGTGTGTGTGTGTGTGTGTGGTGTGTGTGTGTGTGTGTGTGTGTGGTGTGGTGTGTGTGTGTGTGTGTGTGTGTGTGTGTGTGTGTTGTTGTGTGTTGTGTGTGTGTGTGTGTGTAGTGTGTGTGTGTGTGTGTGTGTGTGTGTGTGTGGAACTGACCTAATTTTTCGGCCTCCCATCATTTACAAACAGAAAAGAAAGTGGGGACGCTCTCAGTGTCAATTCGCTATGGGTCAAATCAGCCTGCTCCACGCATGCGACTCGTAACACATTACAGTAAATAAATTTTCACACTAGTTAGAGTAATTCTGTATGGTCGTCACTGTAACGATAGTCTTGTGGTCATTGTACGAAGTACAACAGAAACAAGGTGACCTATTACTTCGATGTCACTACAGTCACTTATATAATGACTACATCCTCGCGATATGTAAATGTATCTTTCGTTCGATTGCTAAGTTACAATCGTACGATCGAACTAAATTCAGAGGTAATCGTGTTTTTTGACCTAGAAATAATTTACGAGTAGTACATTATGTAATTTATAGCAATCGTCATCGGCTTTCATTTACTCTCAATTTACTCGTGGTTCAATGTCCGGTAGTCATTCATGTTAACGACTCCATGAACGTAGAATTGACTTATAAAGTTACACAACGATGAAACATGAAGTGAGGTACATAAATTAGAAATCAATGAAATGTCTATACTACTTACTACCTTTATATTAGTACACAATTTAGTCTGAAATCAGAGTGAGACCTCATTTAAGTGTCGATGGGACGTCTATGTTTCAGTAAGTCATCGACGTGGAAATAAAGTTCATCTCTTATGACATAGCTGTTAGTATTCAATTTTTGTATAGTATATATGAATAAGTACTTTTCATGTGTTGGCGCGTCACACCTTACTGATGAGTGTTCAGTGATTGCAATCTTTTCATAATAGTAGCTATTATGATAAATTGCAATCGAAACACGTCACATAAGGATGTGAGGCCAAGAACATGAAAAATAAATTCATGTTCTAGAAAATTTAATGGTAACAGCTGTGGTCATGAAAATGAACTTCTAATTCGTAAAAATGTGTTACTCTCAAATTCATAAAATGAGTTCACTTCTATACCTTATGGAGAGGTCGGTGCCGCAACATTCCATATATTGTTTCCACATTGTGTGAGCGCACGTAGTTGTTGACCGGATGAACCGTGACGATACGGACATTCAACCGAGTAGGTATTGTGGAGTCGATGTAAAGCCTATCCACCTCATTCCTTATAACTTCATAAATGTTCTATGTCATTTATTTTCTAATAAACGGTCTAAACGACGTACCTCCTCGAATTTTATCGAATCGCTACGATGTAATCGTTATCGATCGAAAGATACATTGCTAATCGCAGGAGGATGCAGTCTTTTATTATGGTGAC